AGTCCGCACTAGTAGTAGGAGAAAAGAAGAAGTGGCAGGTCTAAAAGAATTACAGCAGATGAACAATATCTTAAGAAAGAAGATAAGAATTAAGAAACAGGGGGGGAAATCCACCATAGATTTGTCACAGGAACTGAGAGATGGATCTGGCTTTTCAGTTCATATGATATTATTCACCAAAGCTTGATCAGAAATGGCTTTTGTGTATGGGAGGCTGTCGAGGGAAACTAGGAGAAAAGGCTGAGATATGGCAAAGTACACAAGAACTGGACTGAAGATCAGAAGATCAATCCAAATTTCAAATCTTTTGGTTCAAATCTTTGTCAGTATGTGCAGAAGAGGTCTAGAGAGTACAACAATGAGTCTCTACAGCATTTTCTAAAGCATGATGGAGGCTCTGTCGTGGTTTGGTGCTGTATTTCAAATAATGGTGTTGGGGATCTTGTCGAAATTGACGAAACTCTATGTTGAAGAGTAAAGATGCTTGTTTGTGCTTGTTTTTATTACTTCTTCTTCTTCTTCTTCTTCTTTTTTTTACATTTCGACATGTGACAGATATATTTTATCCTCATTTCCTCCGTTAACCATTAGACTACAATGTTGTAATTGCTTTCAACAGCCATGAATAATCCAGCCATTTGAACAATCATGACTGCTTTGGTTCGACCTGGAGTTAATATTTCAGAGCTATGTAAGGAAGGAGACAAGTTCCTTCGGAGCGGTGAGCTGGAGAGAGCCACCTCCTTGTACATGTCTGCCTTCAGGACTCACGCCACCTCTGCGGTGTCCCACATGAGAAAACTGGATAAGTCCGGTCTGGATTTGGTGATCGCTACTCTAGAAGGCTGGCTTGACAGTCATGTGAAGAATCAGCCTGCAGAGGGTCTTAATAAAGGTCTTGCTGCTGTTTTCCTCTCCACACTCAGTCCCAACAATCTGTTAGCCACCATTTACAAAATGGAGTGTCTTCTTCAGAGTGACACGCATGCCTGCGAGGAGATTCTTGCTCGTTGCACAGCTATGCTTGAAGGGAAGCGGAACCTTCCTCCAGAGGGTTCAACTCATGTTTTGTTGGAGATAACTCGAGCCCTCGCCTGCTTGTTATCAGAATCTCACAGGTTAAAGGGACTAAAGATTTACCTCAAAGCTTACCGGAATAGCAAGTCTGAAACTGTCACACTGGTGAAGAGCAGACAAGCGGGACACTTACCCAAAATAGTGAAGGCCTTTGCAGAACAAATCATGCTCATACATCCCACTCTGGTAGTTGACAGCAAGTGGAGAGTGGGAACAAAGGACAATGACAAGCTTGAAGAAGAAACTTCTGCTACTGTTATTGAGTTTTTGCTGTCTATTTCACCTAGTAACAAAGAAGTACAGGAACTCAATGCAGCATATTTGTTTTTGATGGGCAGGTTTATGGACAGTGCAGAGGCATACTCTTCCCTCTTGCAGTATACTCATGGCCAGAAAATACCAGAGAGTACTATAGAAAAATTACTCCAAGAAACTCCTGAGAGGACAGCCAGACTCTTGACAAGCCGAGCAGCTGCTTGCTTTTCAGCAGGTGGAAAGATTACAGAGGAGTGCACAGATTTGGGGAAAGCATTTGAGACTCACCCAGCCACGGCCCGAATTTACTTCCAAAAGCTGTTCACAGATCAGGGAACTGGGGTGGCAGCTTGCAACCATCTCCGTCAGCAGGCGGAGAGAGGCCTGTCTGATTACAGAGAGCAGGTCCTTGTCCGGGCAGATCTGCGATCTACTGACGGAGTTGAACTTCTGGACCCTGTTATCACTCAGTTACGGACCCTGTGCCATTTAGAACCTGGTGGGGGAGACAGAGAGTTGCGGGTCCGACTGGCTGATTGTCTTCTCCTCAGAGGAGAGCACAAAGAGGCCCTCTCTATCTGCAGCCAGCTAGCTGCCGCACAAGGTCAGCAGAGCTATCAAAACACAGTCCACGTCCTTCGTGGATATGCACGATTGCTCTCTGATGACCAGAAGGGTGCATTAGAAGACTTTCAGGCTGTGATTGAACACAATGCCCCCCACCCATCAAGCTGTGTGCGAGCACTTTGTGGCAGAGGCCTCCTGCGAATGATGGGTGGCTTAAACTACCTGACTGCTTTAGACTATGTGACAGCCAGCAGGCTGCATCCTCAGGAAACAGCATTTGCTGTGCGCTGCTTGGTACCCTGGAACTACCGTGGGCTGCTGTTTACTGTTCTGCTGGAGCAGGGACGATTCATGCTTGAAGGGTCTAGAGATCACAAACCCAAGTCCAGTTCTGGTGAAGACTCCCAACAGCACCAAAAGGAGGAACATATGCAGACCGTATCAAAGAGGGACAACCACAGATCAAGGTATGTTTGTTTTAGATATGATTTACTGAGCAATGCTTTCTCAGAGAAAATATTTTGGCATGTCACAGCAGGAAAAGTCTACTTTATTGCATTGTATGGTCTCTGTTGTGTGTTTTTCTCAGTGTGATTGTTGTGTTTTTTTTCTGCTTTGTACGTTAGGACTCCTGCTGGTGTCCATTCCCTTGCTCTGTTGCTGATGGAGCTCCAGCCCAGTGCCGATGGGCCTCAGATCTTGGCAGCAGATGCCTTGTACCAGCTTGGTCGGGTGGAGGAGGCTTACCGATTGCTGCTGTCCATCGGGCCCACCAATCCTCGGGCACCTATCTTGGCTCGCCTTGCTTTGCTGCAGCTGCACAGAGGCTTTCTTTATGACACCAATCAGGTATATAAGTTTGAGGTACCAATTTCTCATTTTTTGTTTCCTGTTTAGGAAACTTAATTTCATACTTGCTTATTTTGTAAAACATATCTAAATAAAGCAGGAAGCTGAGTGAAAGCAGAGTGTAGTTCATTATTAGTAGTTTTGGGGAAACACCTTTGTTCTTTTAACTAGTTTGCTTTGAATAATTTCTGGATGCACCTTTAAAGTAATTACATTCATGATATAAGGAGCTATGAGGGCTCAAATGTGAAAAAATCTTCAGCGGTCAATTCACTTCTAAAATTTCCTGATAAGCATCCAAATGTCTGATTTCAGTGTGCGGTAGCTACAGTTTTGTTTTGAAAAGTGTAGCTTTGAGTTTAAAAAAATGTTAACAATGATTTTAACCACAGAATAGTCCTGATTTACTCTTCATGTCTGTCAATTTTTCCTGTAGCTGCTGAAAAAGCTCATCTTGTGTGGCGATACCAGCTGCTTGCGCCCCCTGCTGGCAGTGGCACAACAGAAAGACAGAGCACTGCTGCAGGGACACTCCCACTCAGCTGCAAAACGCATTTTGGACCGAGCAAGCGAGGAGAGCGGTGTCAGAGAGGCTGTGGCATATCTCTCCATTGCTATTATGGCCTCTGGTGAATAGAATCTGTTTGATGAGTTATTGATATTTGGTACTGATCTGTTGCTAACTATTGAAGTATTAACATTGTTGGTTGTTGCATGCAGACTGGAGTAATGATTTGTGGAATTCAGCACAAAACCCAAGCTTTTTTTTTAGATTCCACTTTAAAATATCTTGCAGAACATAACACAAATTACAGATGAGGATAGAATAATTACGCCCACTATGAAAATTTCATTTTTTAAAAAGTATTTCCAGATGCCGGTAAACAGAGGGACAACTTTTTGACACAGCTTTTCCAAACATCCTATTTTTATTTTGGATGATTAGTTGATTTTTACTTTGGACACAGAAACGAAATAATTCACAATAACTGCCAGAGTCAAATTATTAGCCTCCATGATGCTAACAGTCAGTTGTGCATCCTTTTTGTGTAGTGTGTAGTCATTTATTATAGTTTTCAACAAGTCTCAAATCAGGGCTTTTTACAAGCCAGTCAATAACATTCACTTTGGTCTCCTGGAATTAGTTCTTCACCTGGAGTCCCATATATTTTGGGTCGTTATCATGTCAGACAAAGTGATGACCCAGACCCAGTTTTGCTCCTGATTGGTTGAGGTGTTCTTTTAAAATCTTCACAAATCCATCTTAGTTTGTGATTCCTTCCACTGTGACGAGATTCCTATTTCAAGCCGCACTGAAGCATCCCCACAGCATATTACTCCCACCGCTGTGTTTTTCTGTGGGTACAGTGTTCGTTGGGTTATACAGCAGCATCTCTTTGGCCAAAGAGCTCTAGTTTACAGGCAGCATATTCTTTCTGCAGGGTGTCTTTAGTATACTACAGTCTTATTTGAAAGTGTCTCTTGTGCAGTGGTGGAGTTTTTCTTGCAGTCTATTCCTGTGCAGGGCTGCAGTGACTGTCTTTTTTGAGACTACGTTTCCCAACTTGGCTAAGTCATTCACGAGTGTCTTTACATATCTCTCTCAGTAGTTTTCTTTCCAGAGTCATTGAAATCGTTTGCTTCCTACCTCTACCAGGCTTGTTCTGTATTGTGTGGCTCTCTTAAAATTTCTTAATGATGCTTATCAGTCCACTCCATCTCCTGCTTTATGCGCATCAAGATTTTTTTTTCTCAAGCTAAACTGATTTTTGTGTTTTTGGCATGATGGTTTTTCAAGTGACAGCTCAAAGCCTTGCTAAAGTTTTTATACTGTGTGCCATTTTTACAAGCCTTGAGCATTACAATGTTAAGGTACATTATTTCACATCAGTGGTTTGTGCTTTGAGTTTTTAACAGGGCTAATTACGTTGACTGTGCTAATTCTCGTTTCTTTCTGAACTAATTCTGTTATTGTGTCCAAATAGAAATAATTTTAACTGAAATTTTAAATATCATTGGGAGAAATGAATGAATTGAGCACTGTGTCCTCATCCGTAGGTAGATTAGCTATGCATTATTTAACCACACATCTTTTGTGGTTAAACATAAGACCTGAAACCAGCCTATATAATGCACTTCTACTGTGTGTATTTGAATCTATGATTTATTGTATACAAATATTGAAACTGACACTAAAATGAGATTACACATACTATAAAAACAGTCAATTCATTGTTTTTCTCAGGTGGCGAGGCAGCTGAATCACTACTAGAAAGAGCGAGGTGCTACGCTTTGCTGGGTCAGCGAAAAACAGCCATATTTGACTTCAGTGCCATTCTGAAGGAGCATCCGAAACACGTGCATGCGCTCTGTGGAAGAGGTTTCACATATCTCATGCTGAATCAACAAAAGGTTTTTTTTCCCTCTAGTCTTATCTATCAGTGAAACTCGATACTATTGCCCTTTTTGTTCAGGTGATTACAGCTAAGTGCTTGACTGACATGTTGCTTGTGAAACAGCTGTAGAGTAAAACAACCTGAGCTTCCTTACTATTAAGTCAAACTAAAGTAATGTACAATTATTAAATAAAATGTTCTCCTCTGGGCTTTCCTGATAACAGGAATTTAAGCATTCGAATAATTTAAACAACAATCATAGCTTTAAAACATACAATTATACATATGTTTTTTTTCTTCTGGTGGACCTGAGAAATGTCTCTTAACAGACATTTTCAGTATTTATTTTCAGTAATTGCAGAAAATGAACCCAGGACCTGACTAAATGTAACAGTGGTATCTAGTTTATATCCCTTTTGGTGTAGCCTGGAGAGCATATATCATATTGCTCTTACACCTTGCCTCCTTGATATTAAAGTGTTAATTTATCAGTCTGTGTTTAGAGAAATTGCTTCCGTTTTATTATATTGTAATAATAAAATCACTTTTGGTGAAATGCCCCACAGGGACCCTAATGTTGAATTAAGAATAAAATAAAAAACGTTTCCATGGCTACTTTCTCTCTTCGTATCATTGACCCTTTAACCTAATTTGAGTTTTCCCCTAAACATAAAGCGACACCTTGTGGCTTTCTGGTGAAATCTGTTTGAATAAGGGGTGCCACAGAATTGTGATCTTTATAAATATACCAGTCTTATGCTAACACTTATTAACATGGTCTAGAAAAATTATGAAAAGTATGATATGCATGTTGTACTGCACGTTGAAATAAAGTATAACATTTGAACTCTGTTCTCCCTCTAGGAATGTACTCATGATATCCTGGCAGCACTTCAGATAAATGCTGACATAGTGACCAAAGACATTCTTTCACTCAAGGACAGGGCACAGAAGCTGGTCTGTGATTGGCTGCATCAGTTCTGTCGTACCAACCTGTCAGATATTGTGGCCACTCATGGTGTTCCCTGCCATGAAGAGCAGCTTAGAGAGGCTTTCATAATTGGTGGAGCTTTGATGAGGGCTGACTGTAGAAACCCCAGATGGCATCTGCTCTATGTGGACATCCTTTTGGCAAAAGGTGAGATTGTGGGGGAAATTGTCTGAGCCGGATCCTTGCTAGGATTGGAAATCATCTGCCTAGCAGCTTATGGCTTAGGCTGTGTGACGTTTCCAATTTGACAAAAAGCACTATTGCACCTGTCATCACCTGTTTTCAGTAATCCATGCTTCTGTTATGGTCCATCTGCTGCAGGTGAGGTCAAATCAGCAGGCGCTCATCTGTGCCAGATATTTGGCCAGGAGCCAAGAGATGCAGTGGCCCAGGCTCGGGTGGGTGTGGTGGATGCCTGGCAGAAGAAGTACTGCAGCGCAGCTCGCAGGCTCAGCAAACTGGCTGAGAAGGATTCATCCTATTTTGACTTCTTGCTGGCTCTCATCCCATTTAATCAGCGAAAATGCATGGCACAGGTAAGTGTACAGGAAACCCAGATTTAGTACCGGATGAGCAGATCTGCCAAAGTTCTGGCTTTGTCAGCGTTATTTTTCATCAAAAAATAACGTTTATGTCAGGATATTTCCATGATATTACAAAAACAATCCCCATATCATTTCTCTCTATTGAACCAATGGGTGTTATGGTTGTATATATTCTATGTATGTATTTTCATTTATGGTAAAATACAGTACAAACATGTGGCGGGTCCACCATCTCACAACGACTATATTAGATGCCTAAATTAGATGGCAAAGTCAATAATGTGAATCTGATACATATCTACTCTAAACTACATGTTAACTGTACACTGGGACAGGAAGCAGCTCAGGAGGCCAACAGTGTGTCATCATGTGGTCAGTGGAAGCAGGCGCTTACCCTCCTGACTGTGGCAGTACAATCAGAGGGCAGTCAGAGAATGGAGTATCTTCACCAGCGGGCTGTGTGCCTGACACAGCTGGGCTTACATGAGCGGGCTATATCTGATCTGGACAGAGTTATACAGAAACACGATGTACCTGACTACAGCTGTTCAGACCACCCTCAAGTCCGGGTGGAGGATTTGTGCTTGCGAGGTCGCAGCCTGGTGCTCTGCTCCAAAGAAGGGCCAGCTCTGGAGGACTTCATCCGGGCCCTGGAGCTCAACAGAGAACAGGCCATCAAGTGTGTGGAGGCTGGGCTAGGAAAACTGCCTCTGGCTGAGTGCTTCCTGCGGGGGGCGCTGCAGCATTATGGGGAGCAACATCTCAGTAAGGCTTGGACCTTGATTGAATGTGGCCTCCTTTTGGACAGTGAGAACACAGAGCTCCGCAGACTGAGGGCAAAAGTCAAACGAGAAGTGGCCAATCCTTGCAACGTGAACTAGTGTTGACTGTGAACTGGACACAGAATCTCCAGTGGAGCTGCAAAAGCTCCAATCAGGTGAATGTCCTACCTCAAAATTAGAAACAAAGAAAAGAAAAACCTAATCCCAATCATTTTGTTATGCTCAGCTTCCAAAATTTCATGGGATGTTTGGTGTTTCCAGAGCACACATTGCTACTGTTTATATTATTCCCTCAAAGTTCAGTTTAAACTTACAGGATTAACATCAGTGTCTTTATGATTACATCAAAGCAAAATATTTATTATAAGAGGAGTAAGTGAATTAATATTTAACACCACAAACACTTATGACATAAAACATTAGCAATGTAATTAATATGATAATCACAAAAACCAATAACTATGCTATCATAATGTATAAGCAAAATCATTCAGCGTTCAATGCTGTCACACCTAGATAAGTGATTTAAGAAAGTGCCAAGTGTGCAGGTTTTATGCTTTTCAAATGAAGACAAATCTTTAATCATATCCATGGTGGCAAACACAATTTAGCACACAGAAGTACATGTGACTATAAACACTGAAATTTAGTTCACACTGCTGCCATTGGAGAATAATTAAACATAATGTCAAAACACAAGTAGTTTTCACTGTGCCTCTACTCTTGGACTTTTTGCATTGTATGATGTATATAGCATTAGATTTATGCATACACTGCTCATGTAGCTGAGATGAAACATTCACTGTGGTATTATGCATACACAGTAATGTATTGTGGTTCCATATTGCCAAAGTAGGACTTCTCCCACTCACTCATGAGGTCAAAGTGCAGTGGGCGGTCACAGAAGGTGCAGGAAGCGGTCGCCGGGCCATTGAGCAGAAGACCTGCTTCCTTCCAAACATCCACCAGTTTCCCTGTGAATGATAAAAGTGTTTGTAAGAATAAACAGTTAAATGTTGATATTTATTTTCTTTTAAAATGTTTAAAAGTTCTGGTCTGATTATTCTAGCACGTGCCATTTTTTTTAAGCTCCCCACAGAGCACGGTCATTTAGGGGAGCAGGTCAATGTCAGGAGAGCCACAATGTCTTGTGGGAAAGCGTTTGCACTGACCATTACCAATTACAGCAAGTGGCCTCACACTCACCCACAAAGTACTCCATCATTTTGGGGTTGTGATGAGGAGATGGAGCCAGTCTCAGCAGCTCCTCACCACGAGGCACTGTGGGGTAGTTGATGGCCTGTACGTAGATGTTGTGCCTCTCCAGAAGGATGTCACACACCTTGGTGTTCAGCTCAGCGTTGCCCACCTGGAAAATAAATCATAAAAGATGGCACATGTCATTTAGGAGAAACGTTTATTCTGCACAGTTAGGTAGTGCATACATGGATGAATTATTTTACTCAGCCTGTGGAGTCTAGATTAGATCTCTGGGATAATTATGGGCTGCTTAATTGGTTCTACTCAAAATTTCAATCTGTTAAAAATAATAAAAAATTCTAAACTAATTAAATAAACTGGTATGCTGTTGTTCAAGCCTATTATAAAAATTTAAGACTCAGTTTACTTAATTGTTTACTTATTTGTGCAATTTAATCACAGTTAAAGACTATAACTAAGTCTGTGTTACCCTCCCGATTTCATCTGACCAACGTTGTACTTTCTAGGTTTATAAAATGAATAAGTATTATAATATATAATAAGGGAAATCAGGTTTAACTAACAAGTGATAGTGAAATAGCGGTGGCTGTAATCCAGTGTCCATTTAGCTCTACTAAATCTTTTTACCCGAATGGGGATGATGTGGCTGGGGCAGTTGACCACCGGTAGGCCTTTATCCATGAGCAGCTGCCTCATGTGTTTGACATTCCTCTGGTGGGCTCTGCGGAGCGCCTGCCCCTCTTCACTCTTCAAGACCCGCACAGACTCCAGCGCTCCCACCAGGACCATCGGGGGAAGGGCCGTGGTGAAGATGAAGCCGGCTGCGTAGGAGCGCACTGTGTCCACCAGGGCGGCGCTGCTGGCGATGTAGCCTCCCACACAGCCAAAGGCTTTACCTGAAATAGTAACAAATGACAGATTCTATGTAAAGTGGTGGGGAGAGCATTTATTAAGTGTAAATAAAAATGATATACTTTTTTTTCTTACATTGCCATTTTGTATAACTTTATTATTTCTACATTAATACATTTCACAGGTGTAAATTTATTACAGGGATTTTAATTTTAAGTTATTTACATTTTTATTGTAAAAATATGATTATTGTGACATCAATATATAAACACTGAAAAAAGCAGAATACATAAAAAATTTACACAAAATGTATCAAGTCTGAATCAAATGAATTTTAATATTTCTAATACACCAGCTAAAACACTCCCATGTCAATTTGTATCAGTTTCTTAGTTAAGTTTCATCATTATTTTTTTCATTTACTGTCATGTGAACTGTTGTAACCAGACTTTGAAAAAGTCGGATGTTGTAATCCAGGATTAATTCACAAGGATTTCTACCAAAAGCCTTGCATCAAGTTTCAACCACGCAGCCTGCCTGTGGACAGTTTTATCAGAACAGCCAGAGAGGGAGTAGAACTGACGCTCAGCTGATAAAACCTCTGCTTCCTGTAATGAGAGCTCACTTCTCTCCTGACCTTATTTAACCAACAGGGGAGCAGTATCATGCCTGTTAAAAGTTATTGCTCCTTTGTTGGCAATGCGACAGTGACAGTTACTGCAGCAGAGGCTGTAAATGGGAGTTGGGCCAGTAGCAGAGCTTGTGAGAGTTTGAAGCTGTTTACCTTGTCCCGCTTATGCTCAAGATTAAAGGACAAAACTGCTGGTTGTGAGAGAAGTGGATAACTCACCTAAGGTTCCAGAAACAATGTCAATCTTGTGCATAATGTTGTCTCTCTCGCCCACTCCAGCTCCGTGGGCTCCGTACAGGCCCACGGCATGAACCTCATCAACAAATGTCAGCGCTCCGTAACGATGGGCTACATCGCACAGCTCTTCCAGAGGACATATGGCACCTGAAAAATTAGAACGGTGTTTAGGTGAACAACAGGGTATAAGAATAGCAAGTATTTAAGATCTAAAACAGGTGACATACTGAAGGAAAAAGCGCAACTTTTCCAATAGCTAATCCATGATCTGGTGTTTTCATGATGGAGGTGGAGAACATGTCAGCCCAAAAGATGCTAAATTTGGTTGAAAACTGGTGAATCTCAAGGCCATGGTTTATGACTTATGTAATCTTCGGAGTCATAAAACCATTCAGTGACTAGTGCACTGTAGATGGGGGAGTTTTCATTGATAAAGAGGTCACTCCCTTTTGGAGAAAAATGTTTAAGCAAAGAATAATTAATCACTTACAGCAACTTTACGAAAAAGAGACACCAGATCCCTCAACTGTAGAGGGTGGGTGGGTGGGACGGGTGTTTTTCCTTTAATTTGTCAACCACCGCATCCAAAATGTGTGATTAAGAAGTATGTGGTGAGTTATTCTCACAGATTTTGGAAACAAATATTTAAAACATAAAAGAACGCATAAAAGAATAAAAAAAAAACATGATTAATATCAGTTTTTGCTTTTAAAAGTATGATCAGCTCGTGCTTTATGGAGCTGTCACTGGTGTAATATGCTGAAAAAACTGAGCTGAGAACAATACAATACTCCTCCTCTGGTTTACTCTTTATCAAATATAATTTTAAACTTATACTGGTGATAATTGTTGAACTTTTTTAAACGAGGTGCACCCAACATCTGCTTAGAAAGGAACTCCTTCAAGGTATTATAATTCCAGCTGATGACCCCTTGAAGCAGCTTGAGAGAAAGAGATAATGGAAAAATAAGAGTCTCGTTTCCAAAAAGTGCTTTTTCAAACGTTTGACTTTGTGGTTCTCACCGTCCATTGAGTGCACAGTCTCAAACGCCACTATTTTTGGTGTCGTAGGGTCTGAGCGTTGGAGCAGTTCCTCCAGGTGTCGACCGTCATTGTGGCGGAAGATGAAACGCTTGGCTCCGCTGTTCCTGATGCCCTGAATCATGGATGCGTGGTTCCCAGCATCGGAGTAGATCTCGCACCCTGTACAAAACAGTGAATAGATCATTAAACAAATAAAAAACAACTGCTAACTGCTAAATAACTAATAAATAGTTAACATTGATTTTAATGTTCAGGTAATTATTTACCTGGCAGCATCTTAGCCAGAGTGAAGAGGGTGGAGTCATTTGCCACAAAGCAGGAGGAGAAGACCAACGCTGCATCTTTCTGGTGTAGCTCGGCAAGCTCCTTCTCCAGAGACACATGGAAGTTGCTGGTGCCTGAAATGTTCCTCGTCCCACCGGCTCCTGCACCATGCTTGTCCAGAGCGTCTCTGTGGACATCCACAACAAAAAGGTACAACATCAAGCCCAGATACAAAACAATGACACCAGCTCCCTGTTTCGACTTGCGAGATAGACACACTCTCTGTTTTTAAGAGTAGGGTTGAAATGTTCCTTTTTGATAAAGTTATAGTCCGGGGTGGATCAGGTGACCCTGAGTGTTTCTTCTTCACTCACCTCTTTCCACTCTCTGTGTTTACACACCACTTTGCATTCAGTCATTAGTTATTATTAATCTCTGTCTCTCTTCTACAGCCTGTCTTCTGCCCCTCACCATTAACCAGTCATTGCAAATGGAAATCTCGGAGTCTGATTCTGCTGGCAGTTTCTTCCTGTTAAAAGGGAGTTTTTCTTTCCCACTGTTGCCAAATGCTTCCTCAAAGGGAGCCTTCTGATTGTTGGGGGTTTCTCTCTATAACCATACCTTAAAATAGATAAATAAAACTGCATTAAACTGAAGTGAATCGCATATCTTCTACACTATGCCCAGTATGCTTATGTTTTTCCGTCAAATTCTCGAGTCCTTTGAGTTTATTTGGTTTCCCTTCTTGCAAGAATGATGCAATTTAAACATAAGATTACCCAAGCCAGTCTACTGCTTTGTATCGGCATAAGGATAATTAATTACTCAAATCCAAACAGTATCTGCAGATATGTGGTCCAAAACCAAGTAGTGCATAGATTAAAACTTTGAGCCAGTGAAAAGTCAAACCTGTCAGCAAATTTTGCTCAGAGCCATGACTTGACTACCAAACACAGGCCTGACTGCTTGAGTACAACATTCACATTTTGACTTCCTCATTGCACTGTTAACATTTATTATTAGTATCATATATTTTATAAACACAGTGTCTACATGGTTTGTCATTTTCATAGCATGAAAACACCCAAAATAATTAGACATGCCTTTGCAAGCTTACAAAGACATGATATTTTCTGGGTCCTGTTACCTGATGGCACTGAGGACCCGTGGGTGCCGACTCATTCCTAGATAGTCGTTGCTGCACCAGACGGACACCTGGGAGCCTTCCCGCCCAGAAATGGAGTAATCCTCAGCAAACGGGAAGACCTCAGCACTCCTGTTCACTGTCTTGAAGACTCTGTATGAGTGGTCCTTCTTTTTCACAGCAATCTTCTCCATGAAGAACTGATCATAGTCATAGCTGGGGCCAGCTGTGGGAAGAATAGTTTTGACTGGGCTTCAGTTACTCTACAGCATCCAATAGACAGCTTTTTATTGCTGAATATTTACCACAGAATATTACAATGAAATGACTGGAGGGGTAAAGCCCTTTTATTTGTATAACATACCCATGTTGTCTTTGAGGAGGTGGGTAACAGTGTTGGGTTGAGCTGAAGTAGGGCACGCAGAATCCTTTACACCTTTCAGAGAAGCCATCAAATCTGTCAGAGAGGAGTGTGATTGTGTCAAATTTATAAATACTTTGTCCCCTATTTTTGTAATTCGTCAGATTTTCTTCTATTAAAGCTCAAATTCTGCTACTCTGATGGCAGCTTCGCTGCAGGTACGTAATTCCTACCACTTTCTTGGACATCCTCCTGTACTTCAGGGCTGGCTCGGACCATACCAATCTGGGAGCTGACAAAAGGGCATCCCTTTGATACGGACACAGCTACCTGAGTAGCAGTTTGAGCAAAGAGCCTCCTTTGTTCAGCTGTGGGAAGCTTTTGATCCTGGGGTTTGTGGGCCGAGATGTTCAGCTTGGCTTCCAGAGAGCCCGGGCCGCTCACGGTGATCTGACGAGCGATGAGGGGGCAGTGATTCGCAAGAGACAGCAAGGCGGCTCCGGTTCTCCTTAAAGCCGGCTTTGGAGCCAACTTGAGGAAGGGGCAGTGATGGAGGAAGGCAGCCATGATACTGAAGCTGTTCTTACTCTGGGTTAAGACAGAAGATTTTGCCTTACGTGGGTGAAGATTATAAATTACATAGCATAGCGT